AGGTTTTACAGAGTAAGTCCATATGGGATTTAAAAAAAAACAACACAAGTGCTGTAGGACTTTATTGTGAATTGGATCTGCCAATATCCATGCTGAAGAAGCCAACCCTGAAGCCAAATACCAGCATTTGTTTCCCAAACACTGATTAAAACAAATATTTTTCAGTTGCCATAGCTTTTGGATCTATTTTTGACATGTACGCTGAATGCAGCAAATAACATGGAAACTCTGGCTCCCTTCATTGCTGCTTGACATTGAGGACTCTAACCTCGCTAGTGAGGTCAGAAAACATCAGCTACACAACCACAAAAGATACCTTTCCTTGCTCCTAGGCTGCCAACTGCAGTACTATCTTTGGGATGGTTCGTCATGTCTACTAGTTGCACGTGCTTTAAAACTGAATACAGCCTCAATGCAGGCTTTAAGTTTGGAAACTAGTTAAAATTAGATTAAGTCTTGTGTCTTTATAGGAAAGCACTGACAATATCTCTTTGATACATAGTGTAGCCCCAATATACAACTTTAATTTTTTTATTGTGGAAATTTAAGAACATATACAAAATTATAGAGAAGATTAAAAGGATCTGAAGTACCTTTCACCCAGCTTTGATAACTATCACTTGTGAAAGGATAACTCAGACACAAAACTATTAAGAAAATAATTTTACTTTCACTATTCTGTAAGGCAGATCTTACTTCAGAACAACTGAGCTATCTAAACAAAGAACACAGCAGGTTTTTAGAGAAAAACACAAGAGGTTACTAAGTGTACAGTTAGTCTGTTCCTCACATGACTATCCTACCTGCAAGGGTTATCACCTATGTTGATATTAATATTGCAAAATCAGGAATTAAATTGGTTGTTTTTTGTTTTTTGTTTGTTTGTTTTTGAGATGGAGTCTTGCACTGTCGCCCAGGCTGGAGTGCAGTGGCGTGATCTCGGCTCACTGCAACCTCTGCCTCCTGGGTTCATGCCATTCAATCAGGAATCAAATTGTTTGCATTAGAGTATCAGCTTACAAAATGGGCATGGTCTTCATTTAGAGAAAAGTGTTAGGGTGTTTCTGCCCATTTTAGTATTTTTAAGAATGTCAAGTGTTTGGGGTTTTGTGGAGGCAGGGATGGGTTTTTGGTTTTGTGTGACTGTGCTATATAATGTGCTAAGTCAAGATGGCAACAAGGCAAGATGTCATTTCTGCTTCCCTAGCCCCTCCTTCTGGGGCTGCCAGAAGTATAATTCTGACTACACGGGTTTGTTCAGAAATTTTCTGATCCATATTATTAATTTGATGGGTTTTTCTCTTTATTTTATACAGTTGCCACAAAAGGTGTTGATTAATACTAGGAGATTTTTTTGCTGTATGGTTTTAAAAAGTAAAGCCTTAAAATACCAAGGCTTGGAGAATTAACTTCTGTCTAGAGGCTTCATAAAGCCCCTAGTCAGATTTTGATCACATCAGTTTCACAGATGATTTTGAATTGCTGTTCTCAATCAGTTTGCCATTTCTAGGTATAGGAGAAAAAAGGCATCCCGTTTGCCTGTTTGCCTGGACCATGCTTTTCCTCAGGAACTACCTAACTAGGACGCCCTTCCTTCTCTGAGGTCCCCAAGTCTGTCAATGTTCCTGCTGTGTCAGCAAGTGGCGTTCTTTACTAACTGTAAGGCTGAGATTTCACTAGCCAGAGAGCAGGTACAAGGTAAGTTTCCTGGGAGGATGTTGTGGGCATCATTTCCACATATCAAGTACAGTCCTTGTTTCTTTTTTGCGGGGGGGGTTGGGGGAGGGATGGAGTTTTGCTCTTGTCGCCCAGGCTGAAGTGCAATGGCGCAATTTTGGCTCACTGCAACCTCTGCCTCCTGGGTTCAAGCCATTCTCCTGCCTCAGCATCCCAAGTAGCTGAAATTACAGGCATGTGCCACCACGCCCGGCTAATTTTTGTATTTTTAGTAGAGATGGGGTTGGTCTCAAACTCCTGACCTCAAGTGATCCACCCGCCTCAGTCTCCCAAAGTGCTGAGATTACAGGCGTGAGCCACTGCACCCGGCCCAATCCTTGTTTCTTAAAGTGAGCTTATCATGCCTAATTAAGTCAGACTTGTTTTAAAATGTGACATTTCTTGCATGGTAACTGCGAAAAATTTTCTTTATCTAACCATATCCCAAGACAGAGGTGTACTGACCCTATGTAAATAATGACATGGTCATAAAAAATAAAGTGAAGCAACAAATGGCACTTTAATAATAACCATTGTTACATGCAGTTTTACAGAAGCCAATCAATGTGTCACTCTTTTTCTCAAAATCATTTTTCTTAGATGTTTCTCTTTATTTATTCACATATAATCTATACCCTAAGACATTTTCTAGATTTTTTCTGAATTCTGAGACATCAGTTGTAATGAGATACCATTTAAAGAATGTTTTGTTCCACTTCGTACAGGGTTTGCTTATTACATCGAGAATTAGTGATAGATCAGGAAGAAAGAAAAGGAGTGTTGTTCTCATTTGCCAAACAGAATATAGGTTAGCCCCAAGTGAATTTTCATCTTAATTTCTTTCCATCTTGCATCATTAATTCGCGTTTCCTGATCTTGGTTTAAGTAACCCACTATCACAAAGTCATCTGCTTTTAGACTAAATAAAAGGTCCTAGACATGCTCAGTCACACAGTCCAACCAGGGGCTTCTGGTGACATTGTCAGCTTATACTGGAAAGCCTGTGTCCATGAATCTGCTCCAGTTAGTGTCAATAGTTAAAAGAACCTATTTGAGGCCACTGCTGGGATGTTATGATCCCTTTGATGTTTCTTCCAGAGACTCCATTATTGATTTATTGATTAATAGCAAGGGTGTTTAGGTAATTGCAAAGGAAAAGAAGAAACTACCTATTGACGACAAGACTTGGTCAATGGCTTGGGTTAATTTACTATAATAATTAACAGTATCTACAATAAGAAAAATGAGACATAATGTACAAGTATTTTTAAAGGATTTAATCAACAATTTCTCTGAAAGTAGTAACATCCTATAGACAACAACGGCCTTGACAGATCTCCAGGACTTTTAAATTTATCCCAATGTGTATTTTTTGGTAACCAATTGATACAGGTATTTTAAAACAGAAAACGTTGAATAAATCTTGCCGACAGTTATTATGCCAATCTTCACACATTACCTTGAGTATGCTCTATCCATCCTGAAAGATTGCAATTGCTGAAACTTGTTCATTTTAATATTAATAACATGCTTTGTATATAATTGACCTAATATTAATAACATGCTTTGTATATTTTTGTATATAATTGACCTAGGGAGGTTGGTTTGCCAGCTGTTTCCATACAATGGGCTTGGCAAATGCTCTCACAAATACAGAGAATTCCAAGTATTTTCAATGACTTCCAGCACCCCTCCTTTTACAAAATGAGAAAATAAATCTTTGGTGTTGTCTAAGAAAGAAACCTCAAAGACAGTTTGGTTGTAAAAGATATCTTAACAGTTCTATTATTCAGAATATGAGAAAAGCCAATTTAAAAAGTTGTTGGCCAGGTGCAGTGGCTCATGCCTGTAATCCCAACACTTTGGGAGGCTGAGGCAGGCAGATCACGAGGTCAGGAGTTCGAGACCAGCCTGGCCAACAAGGCAAAACCCCGTCTCTACTAAAAATACAAAAATTAGCTGGGCGTGGTGGCGGGCGCCTGTAATCCCAGCTACTCAGGAGGCTGAAGCAGGAGAATCTCTTGAACATGGGAGGCAGAGGTGCAGTGAGCTGAAATCACGCCATTGCACTTCAGCCTGGGCAACAGGGCGAGACTCCATCTCGGGGACAAAAAAAAAAGTTGTCAAGGGAGACAAGATGGGAGTATAAATCATAAGTGCCTAAACATGGGAAATGGTTACAATCTTTGTTATGGTGAAAATACACACTAGTGCATAACAATATTAGGAATTGTAGTCTTTTCAGAAGTAGATTTTGTTTAAAAATTATTTCAGCGAATGATTTAAAAATCAGACAAAATGTTATCAGGCTCCAAATAAGTATATTTTAGAGACACCTGGAATCTCTGCTAGTTGCACACAGAATAACTTTTTGCTATTTCTAGTGGTATGGTTTGGCTCTATGTCTCCACCCAAATCTCATCTCAATTGTAATCCTCATGTGTTGAGGGAGGGACCTGCTGGGAGGTGACTGGATCACAGGGGCGGTTCCCCCATGCTGTTCTTGTGTTAGTGAGAGAGTTCTCACAAGAGCCGATAGTTTTATAAGTGTTTGGAAGTTCCCCCTTTGCAGCACTTCTCTCCCTCCTACCACGTCGTGAAGAAGGTGCCTGCTTCCCCTTCACCTTCCGCCATGATTGTGAATTTCCTGAGGACTCTACGGCCATGTGCAACTGTTAGTCAATTAAACCTCTTTCCTTTATAAATTACCCAGTCTCAGGCATTTCCATTTCTTTTTCTTTCTTTTGTTTTTGTTTTGTTTTGCTTTGTTTTGTTTTGCAAGACAGCTTTGTCACCCAGGCTGGAGTACAGTGGCACAATCTCGGCTCACTGCAACCTCCACCTCCCGGGTTCAAGTGATTCTCCTGCTCAGCCTCCTGAGTAGCTGGGACTTCAGACGCATGCTACCATGCCTGGCTAATTTATGTATTTTTTGTAGAGATGGGGTTTCGCCATGTTGCCCAGGCTGGTCTTGAACTCCTGAGCTCAGGTGATCCACCTGCCTTGGCCTCCCAAAGTGCCGGGATTACAGGTGTGAGCCACCATGCCCGGCCTCATAGGCATTTCTTTATAGCAGTGTGAAAATGGACGAATAGGCTTATTAGTATTAACAAGTTGAGATCGTATCCTCAAAGCTCAATGTTCTTCTGAAATACTTGGCTTTCTCCTCTTTATCACTTAAAGTTCCCTTTGCTCAATAAATTTAATATTCCACTATTTAGGCATACAAAATGCATTTAAACATACAAAAATAAACATATATCCTTAAATGGCAAACATGAGGCTTTAAATTTTAACTTCAAAATATATTGATCTTACCAGAATATTACAAGGTAATGTTTATCTACATTAAGTTTACCATCTTAGTATAACTATAATGCTTCTCTTGAAAAATAAATGGGGCCAGGTGCAGTGGCTCACACCAGTAATCCCAGCACTTTGGGTAGGCCAAGATAAGCGGATGGCCTGAGTCCATGAGTTCGAGACTGGCCTGGGCAACATTGGCCCCATTTCTATAAAAAAAAAATAATAATTAAGAAAAATCAATAGACAAAGCATATCCATTATCTTGTGTATGCATCTATATCTCTTCGCAACAACTGTATAGCCTCAACCACTATGCATACTAGTTCCAGTTTTCAACTGAAATAATCAACATCTGCTCCCTCAAAGGCCCAGAGAAAATGAAGAGGTGAACAAATAAGAACAGTCTATTGTACACAAGTACCTTAGCAGAAAAGCAAGGCTCAGTGAAGGCCTCCTGAGTCCCACAGGCTCTATCACATATACATGTTACATTTTTCAAAATGGAAAGCATGAACATGTGAACTAACATACAACCCAATTTTTTTTGTTTTCTTACAGCACATGGCCAGTCTCATTCCATCCAAAACCCCACCTACTACCAACTCATCCCCAGGTTATTTTGAAGCAAATCCCACACATTATGTCATTTCATCTGTAAATATTTCAGTATGAATCTCTAAAAGATAAAGATTCTTTTTGTGATCTTTAAACATGATCATAACAATTATCTAATGCAAAAATTAATGCCTTAACATCATAAAATATTCAACCAGAGTTCACATTACCCTAATTCTGAGTACTTTCAACTTCATTATTTAAATCAGGATCCAAATATGGTACAATACATTGCAACTGAGCAATATGTATTTTAATTCTACTTTAATTTATAGGTTTCTCTTCTTTCCCCTTTTTCCTCTTGCAACTTTTTGTTAAAGATATCAGGTCAATTGGCCTGAATTTGCTATGGTATCACTTAAAAGGTTCTTTATCCCTGTGTTTCCTGTAAATTGTTAGTTGAATCTAAAGGCTTAATCAGATTCAGGCTCAATCTTTTTTGTTTGTTTGTTTTGCAAGATGTGTAGAAAAGACTATAATCTTGTCCAAAAAGGGGTCTGGCCTTTGCCCTCTATTTGGGGGTGTAATTTCTAAACCCTTGGAGTTTCATGATAGGAGTGGTTTTGTTTGTGTGCAGGCCTTGGTTAAACTGGATAGTGTAATGATGTGATACAGAGTGGGAGGTTTGGGTCACACATACTCAGCAATCAGCTCTGGAGGGGCTGGAGATGGAGAAGTCATGTGGGCAGCCAACCAAATAAATATCTGGACAGGAAGGCTCAGGTGCTTGGCAATAATCTGTGCATATGGTCATACACTGATATTGGGAAAGTAATGGTGCATACAACTCCACAGGGAGAAGATAACTGGAACATCCATATATGGAACTTTTCTAGACTTTGCCTTACATGATTTTTTTCCTGGACTACCTTTAATCTGTATCCTTTAGTTGTGATAAACCATAACCATTAGGATAACAACTTTTAGTGACTTCAAGTCCTTCTAGCAAATTATCAAAATTGTGTGGTTTTGAGAATCCCCAAACTTGCAGTTGATGCCAGAAGTAAGAGCAGTCTTGTGAACTGCTCCCAACACTCCCCACAAGACCACTGCACTGTGGTAGTGTCTAGCAGGAGGTCCATGATATCCAATTGTTTCTTTTTCTGCTGTTGTTAGTCACTGATGATCATTGCTTCTTTGAAAGAGGTCATTACCTCTTTGAAGACTGCAAAATGGTGATATTCTACTTCTATCCTTTCTTTTTTATTAACTTGAGTCTTCCCTTTCATCAGTTGTTTGGTTATCTGATATAGGCAATATAGGAAAGACAGGAAAAAATGCTTATTTTATTTACCAGTTTTTAAAATTAAGAGGTAGTTCCTTGCATTCTTCAAAGTGACCAATGACTTCTTAAAAATCTTTATGTCATGAATTTAAGCATCAATCATTATAGATGTTCATCTTTTAACACCTGTGGCCAAGGAGAGAGTATGTAAATTAACTCCTGTCCTTTTGACATGATCCTAGTAATTTTTCATAGCTTGCTTCCTTGCTTTCTGGTATCACAAGATGTTCCAAGTTTATCTGGCATATCTTCTGTTTAAAACCTGGAATCAGCCATTTCTCTAAGAAGACCTGTCTCAAGTTGGGTTCTTCCAGGAAATTGACTCTGAGTTGAATATTTACAAGCAATTAAGGGACTGCACTTAGAATTAACACCTATGGGGGAGGGGCAAAAGTAGGACTGGGCAGAGAGAGCAGTGGAACCACAGTAGAGTCACAGCCAAATCCACAGAGAACACTGGAGATGGTCTAGCCCCGTAAGATGTCCTCCCTTCAGGCAAGAGAGCCTGACCTTTATAATCCACATTAACCAGTCATTAGATATGGGCTGCCTCTGGGCAGGATGTTATAACCTTGGGTGAGGTGACTCTCTTCATGTTAGGGCAGTGGTTCTCAGTCAAGGCAATTTGTCCCCCAGAGACATTTGGCAATGCCTGGAGACATTTTTGGTTGTCACAGCCATGGGTAGGGTGCTACTGGTATCTAGCGGGTAGAAGCCAGGGATTCTACTAAACATCTTCTAATGCACAGAACAGTCCCCAACAGCAAAGAATTATCCAGTCCAAAATGTCAATAGTGCTGAGACTAAGAAACCTTGGTTTAAGAAAATGCCCAGAGAGTGATTCAGGGACAACCAACAGTCACCACTGTTCCAGCATCCCAGGCCTCAGTTCTGAATGGAGAATCTGGGTGGCAAACCACAGTATCCACTATATGTCTTGATTACTTTTAGAGAAAACTAGTAAATAGAGATCTCTGTCTGGGAGCTAGGAGTGCTTGTTGCCTCCAGTTTGATCTCTATTTCTAGGCCTATTCAGGGGAGAGAACTAGGAAATTATCTTTTCAGTACACATCATTCATTATATCAATATTTCTAATTCAAAATCAGGACTCTGATATAATCCTATTTAGAAGGTATAATCCTTCTATTTTGAGAAGCTTGGAACTTGTTGACCCTAAGAAGTTTCCTGAGAGCCATCTCAGTAAACCATTTTTGAATGTCATTAAGTTTGCATATCAGGGGGTTACAAAAGTAAAGGAAAACTTTGCAGGAAAATGTTCAAAATAATCCAGAATATTGGATTTAGGAGGAACCTAAGAGATCATCTAAACCAAAACTCTGATTTTACAAATGAAGAAAAGGAGGCCTAGAAAAGTTCAGCAGACTTAATCTAAGGTCCATAGCTACTTAGTGCCCTAACCAGGACCAGCATCAGGACACTAACCCCTCATATTTGTTTCTTTTTTCCTGCCTCAGCACTCTGACTCTTCTCTCTAGTATTACCTCTCCCATGTTGCAGAAGAAAATAGAACAAAGAGGGACAGAAAAGGAGATGAAACTCATTCCTTTTTCACAGTATACCTTAGTGGAACTGAGAACTCAGATCTGTATGCAGAGAACTGAGCACAAATCTGTAGGAAGGAAGTGCTTCTTATCCACTGTTAGTGGAAACATCTGTTTAGTTGTTTTTCCAAAGCACTGTTAGATTGTGCCGTGCCTTCCACATTCTCTCCTGCACTCTTGCTAATGACGAAGCAGTTACACACCAGCAAGGCTGGCCAAGGTTGGGACATCTTAGCAAAGAAAAAGAGCTCAATTAACCAGTCCACGCAGGGACAGAATGATTGATTTGGTCTCATTAGTAGCATACACAAAAATAATCAATTAAGCTGGCAACATGGTGTAATGCCTTTTCAAATGAAGGTAATCCTCTTTTTTTTTGAGTCAGGGTCTTGCTCTGTTGCTCAGGCTGGAGTGCAGTGAGTGGTGTGATCACACCTCACGGCAGCCTCAACCTCAACCTTCTGGGCTCAAGAGATCCTCCTCTCTCAGTCTCTCAAGTAGCTGGGACTACAGGCATGCATCACCACACCCTGCTAATTTTTGTATTTTTTTGTAGAGATGAGGTTTTGCTATGTTGCACAGGCTGGTTTCAAACTCTTGGAATCAAGCCCACCTCAACCTCCCAAAGTGCTGGTATTCAGGTGTGAGCCACTGCACCCGGCCATTAGGAACTGTCTTCTTTCAATCCTTTCCTAGGCATACTAATCTGAACTCTTCTTGTCCTAGTAAGTTGTTTATTATTTCTTCCAGTGCTTCCTAAACTTTTCCACTGAAGTACTGACAGAGAAGAATGAAAGCTACACAACACACACACACACACACACACACCCCGGTGTGCACTCAAAGCCCTGGGAAAGTGACCCAAAGCAAAATTATTGGGAAATGCAAAATTTTTCCAAAGTCCTGTGTTTATCTTAAATATTCGTTCAAGTCCACAACCTACTCTGTTTTTCTTAAAGAAACAGAAGTTTAAAAGGGCAATTGATATTCCAGAACATGCAGTATGCTTAATAAGGGCTTTGAGAAATCCCTTCCCCTCCCAAATCATGACATACCTCTTGTAACCCCATTTAAGAAACCCAGATTGAGAAATCATTTATATAATAGATTTCTATTGCTCTGAGGTAGAATTCATACTCTTAAAAGTGGTTTGCCTTTAAAAAAAAAAAATCTGCATTCTATCTACTTATGAAGTATCTATTTTTGTTTGTTTGTTTTTATTTTAGCAAAATCACTAGTTGTTTGGGTTTTTTTTTTTTTTTTTTAAGAGGTAGGGTCTTACTTTGTCACCCATGCTGGAGTGCAGTGGTATAATCACAGCTCACTATAGCCTTGAACTCCTGGGCTCAAGTAATCCTCTCACCTCAGCCTCCCGAGTAGCTAAGACCACAGGTTCGTGCCACCACACCCAGCTAATTTGTAAATTTTTTTGTAGAAACAGGGTCTTGCTATGTTGCCCAGGCTGGTCTTGAACTCCTGGCCTCAAGCAATCCTCCCACCTCGGCCTCCCAAAGAGCTGGGATTACAGGTGCGAGCCACCATGCCTGGCCCAGTTAAGCTGTAATAATCAAGATTTTCAAATAATTTGTGTTTTATCAACAGTAGTTACAAAAAAGATTAAAATTAAAATGTAAGTATATTCAAGCTGTATAAAATTTTATATTTTTATCAAAAGTATAATCTAAATATAAAAATTTTAATGTAAAATTGTTTTTCATATATTCTCAAAAGTTATCTTTTCTAAAATATTCAAAAGCATCTATTAAAATTAACAGGCAAAATATAAATTAAAATTCATAATTTTAAAATGGGGATACCACAGACTGCAAGTCTTTATTTTCATTTATTTATTTATTTATTTATTTTGAGACAGAATGTCGCTCTGCCATCCAGGCTGGAGTACAGTGGCACAATCTCGGCTCACTGCAGCCTCTGCCTCTTGGGTTCAAGCAATTCTCCTGCCTCAGCCTCCCGAGTAGCTAGGATTACAGGCACATGCTGCCATGCCAGGCTAATTTTTGTGTTTTTGGTAGAGATGGGGTTTCACCATGTTGGCCAGGCAGGTCTTGAACTCCTGACCTCAGGTGATCTGACTGCCTCAGCCTTCCAAAGTGCTGGGATTACAGGCATGAGCCACCACACCAGGTCCAACCTGCAAGCCTTTATGGCATTCAGATGCAGCCACCTGCTGTTTTGAGGACATAAGGCAAGAGATGTGGAGAATGTTTCCTGGGGCCTAATCAATGTTAGTGGTAAGAGTAGACATTTAGGCTTATGGCCATGCTGTGTCAGTGCTGAATGCCAAACTGAGAGAGGGGTCATGTGCTCTTCAACAATGTGTATGTGGATTGGGGGCTTGTGGCTGGTTTGTGATATGCAGGGCCTTCTAAGCCCGGGCAGTTTTCACCTGTCCCAGTCTGAGGACAGTCTGAAGTCTTCAGAATATGAATGTATAATGGAAAAGGGAAAGTGGGTTGACATCCCAGCCCCACACCTCACCGCTCCAGAGAGCATTCAGAGTTACACACCTACCTACTTACCCAGTGAAGTTAGTATATAAAGCAGATATGATTATTACTACTTTACAAATAAGGAAACTGTATTAGTCCATTTCATACTGCTATTAAGAACTGCCCGAAACTAATTTTTACCAAGCGAAGGGGGAAGAGCCCCTTATAAAACCATCAGATCTCAGTCAGGTGCAGTGGCTCATGCTCTAATCCCCGCACTTTGGGAGGCCGAGGTGGGCAGATCATCTGAGGTCAGGAGTTCCAGACCAGCATGATCAACATAGTGAAATGTAGTCCCAGCTACTCGGGAGGCTGACACAGGAGAATCACTTTAACCTGGGAGATGGAGGTTGCAGTGAGCCAAGATCGTACCACTGCACTCCAGCCCGGGGTGACAGAGCGAGACTCCATCTCATAAAACAAAACAAAACAAACAAACAAACAAACAAAAACCATCAGATCTCATGAGAACTCACTCACTATCACAAGAACAGCAAGGGGGAAACTGCCCCCATCATTCAATTATCTCCACTTGTTCTCTCCCTTGACACATGGGGATGATGGAGATTATAATTCAAGATAAGTTTTGGGTGGGGACACAAAGCCTGACCATATCAGAAACTGAGACACAAACTAAAATGAAGTGACTCTCCCCTGGTTAGCTAGCTACAACATGGTGGATCCAAGAGCAGAACTCAAGGCTCCTGGCTCCTTGCCCATATAAGCTGGCTGCCTCGTGTCTCACTTCCTAATGCTCAAAGTTGCTTCTATATTACTGTCAGGGTTTTGTGGTCAAGTATTATGTGAGTTAAAAAGAATAAAAGAACCATACTGTTTAGCCCTCTTCAGTGTTTAGGGATTTGGAGGTTCAGAGGTGGAGGAAAAGGGAAGTCATTTTAATAGATGTTTTCTGAACCTGATCATTGAACTCCAACATCTTAGAATCAACATATCCTGAAATGTTTCTGGTCAAATAGTGATTATGGGCACAACAATAAAATTACTGTATTTAGTCTTCTGGTGCGTGGTCAGCATCTTCTTTTATCCTTTTGA